CGAGTCAGGCTGGGCACAGAGACTGCTTAGGATTTTCTCTCTCTCTTTCTCTCTCTCGGGGCGCCTGGGTGGCTCAGTCCATTAAGTGTCCGACTCTTGGTTTCCGCTCAGGTCATGATCTCACAGTACGTGGGTTCGAGCCCCACATCCGGCTCTGTGCTGACAGCATGGAGCCTGCTTGGGATCCTTTCTCTCCTCTCTCTCTGCCCTTCCCCCACTCAGGCTACCTCTCTCTCTCTCTCAAAACAAACATTGAAAAAAATATATATATATACTTAAAAAGATGTGGTTTATGGTGCAGGTCTCGGGCACGTCACATTGGCGTGACGTCTGGGGCGGCTCCAGTTGGAGACTAAGGTCAGCCCCCTGGCTACTCGGTCCCCATGTGGCCAAACCACAGCGAAACCCTAGACAGCAAGGTGAGCTTCCCGGTTGGTGGACCTTCCTGTATGCTGTCACACATCTTCGCAGGGACAATTAAGGGCTTTTGTTACCACCCCCGGGGAGGGGACAACTGCCCGCCTGGGACCTCCATATGCACGTTCGAGCTTCGCCAACTTTAACCCGCGTCCTTCCTCTGTAGGAAACCGCGACAGCTTTTCTGAGCTCTGGGAGTCCTTCCAGGGACTCGTCAAACCTGAGGGTGGTCTCGAGGACCCCCCAAGGCACACGTGGCTCGTGACATTATTGCCGGGAGTGGATCAGACCCTCCTCGCGTCCTAATGGTCCCCCCACAGGTTCTGGAGTGGACAGGGCGGGGGGAGTGTGGCGGGCGAGCACCTGGCCGTGTGACCCTGGCTGCGTGCCTTGACCCTTCTGAGCCCCAGATCCCTCATCCACGCGACGGGTGTGACGGCGTCAGCCTCTCCGGTGGTGGCTGTCACGTTACGAGGTATCCGGCATTTAGGATGGGACAGCTGCTTTGCTAATATTTTTCCTGTGTTCGTCCCTTAATACTAACAACGCACATGATTTAAACAGCTTGAGGCCAAGGTCCGCATCCGACGCAGAGAAGCTGGAAGATTCGAATTCCCAACAAAGACGCGCGAGCCCGCCCCGGCCGTGGCCTCACCTGATGAAAGGCCGGGACACCGCCAGCACCGTGCGGATGAACCAGGACGGGTGCACAATGATCAGCGACTTCAGGTTCTTCCGCAATCTGCGTGGGGAAGCAGAGCAAGCGGGCCCTGGGGAGGGAGGGGCTCCCGGCGGGCAG